TTATGCCATTTACACCATCAAACTTAGATTGCTAAGGATGAAGAACCTTTTGTTCTTTAAAGAACCATTTGTAATAGCTGAAGAACCATCCACAAAATAAAAAGGTTCTTTGACGTATGATGGTTCTTTAAAGAACCATGAAGACATCTGAAGAACCATTTAAGAACCATAATTTTTCTGAGTGTACAGCAACTTTCAGTCAAAAAAGTTGATATTTATATGTATCACAAAATTGGAAATATATATATTTTTGTACACATGTGTAATTTAGTTAGACTCAAGATCAGAAAAGGCAAACAGGTATTCACGAAGCCTTAGGACGGTTAGGAGGAGTCTTTCGCAGGCAAAACAAAGGTGTGGAGAAAAAAAGGTGTGGCTGCCTCACAGGTAAGAGACGTCACACAATGCCATGGTTACTCGCTCAGCCTTAGAACAGTCATAGGATGGGCTGTTAATCCCTGGAAAGCTTTAACACTGCTTGGTGTCTCCTCTAGTCTGTCCCTGTGAAACAAAATGCCAGCGTTGACATGAATTTTTCAGCGAAACAACATCTCCTCAGTTTTTTCTTTGTATAACTGGACAAGGGGAAAAGCTTACATTTTTAGAAAACTGAATGTTAACATCCAATGAAGGTATGTAACCTTTTTAAATGCATTTTTGTCTCTCAAATAAGGGAGTAGGAAAGCAAACGGTCACTAGTTGAGAGATATTTCTATAGAAAATTTGAATAAATATGAAGCTAAAACATTACTTTAAGGTTTTATCCATTTAATGATTCTGAGGGATCCTGAGGGATCATTAAACTGATAAAACAGCCCGTGTGAGGTAATGGCACTCTAATAACTTGCATTTAATAATTGGATGAATTGAATTGTTTGAAAGCAAAACCACTGACAGAAAGATATCTCAATACCTTATCTCTCCTCTTAGCCAAGAAATGGTGGAAGGTGTGAAACCAGCAGAGGATGGGAGGTGGTGCAAGTTTTCCCGGAACAAGTATTTCGTCTTTATTCTGGTATTTGCAGGTCTGTTCCTGATTTACAACAGAAATACAATAATACCAGATGGAAACCCAAAAAAGTGGATGCAAAATCAATCAGCAAATTTGTTGAATTTCTTCAGTGGTCAGAGACTAAACATATCCTCACTAAACACTACAACTAATGACAACTCCACTTCTCAAAATACAACTGTACCACCAACACCTGTTCCTTACGTGTCTCCTGGACCATATTTAGTTGAATACCCCCATGACTACCAGTACATCATAAATGAGCCACAGAAATGTGAACAGGAGAACCCATTTGTGGTTCTGATCGTTCCTGTGGCCCCAAACAATAGGCAACACCGTGACATCATCCGCAAAACCTGGGGGAGTGAAAGTCTTGTCCAGGACAAAGTGGTGAGGCTGTTCTTTTTACTGGGGCTGCACACCGGGGAGGAGGTGGAGCAGGTCCAACAGCAAGTACTTCAGGAGAGCAAAGAGCATCACGACCTGATCCAGAGCAACTTTGTGGACTGCTACAAGAATCTCACCATTAAGACCATGGTGATGCTGGAGTGGCTAACTGCACACTGCTCCAGCCCCTCTTATGCTATGAAGATTGATTCAGACATGTTTCTGAATGTACATAATCTTGTCAGTATGCTCTTGAATGCTCAAAAAGCAAACTATATGACTGGGCTTGTGGCAAGTGGTGGTACAGTACTGCGAAATCCAAGCTCTAAGTGGTACCTACCTCATGACATTTATGCTCCGCCACAGTACCCCCGCTATGCTCTGGGCCTGGGCTACATTTTGTCTTTAGACCTCCCAAAAAAGCTCGTTGAGGCATCCAGACATGTTAAAGCAGTTTACATTGAGGATGTGTATTTAGGGTTGTTAATGCAGCACCTGGGCATTCCTCCCACTGACCCCCCAAACTGGGGTTACTTCCATGTAATTCCTTTGCCATATAATCGATGTGCCTTCTCCAGGATAGTAGCCACCACAACTGATCCAAACACTAACCGTGAGCAGATTTGGAATGACTTTAAAAACCCAGGCCCATACTGCTAACCATAAACTGAAAAAATAAAATAAAAATGCAACATGAAACAACAGGGCAGACTTTCCATGACTCTTTAAAAAAATATGTATTTTTATATTGACATATAGGCTATTATGATACTCATGTAAAATCCCCTAATCTCAAATTTTATTGAAACTGAACTAGTATTGTTCCACTGTATATTTAAACTACACAGTTTATGTAGTTTATTATTTAAAGAGTGACATTTTACATATCTGAGTCTTTGTTAATTAAGTTTAAAAACTGTCAAAGTGAAAACGTGCAGTCACACCCATTCTTAACACTACAAAACGTGCAGTCACACCCGTTCTTAACACTACAAAACATGATCCCTGACTGTGTTCTCAAGTTACAGTCCTCTCTGTGTTCACAGTTTCTGGGAAATGCAAGGTACACAGAAACAGATATCCTTAAGCATATTGACCTTACAGTGTATTAAATGGATATTTTGCAACAGGTCAGTGTATGATAGAATTTATTTCTCACTGCGATTAAGAAGTTGAGAATTTTCCAAGGTGCATGAATAACATTATAAACAACCTCTATCTTTGACGTCTGTTGCATATGTCCTATCAAACGGTACCCATGCATCAATTATGGGAATATACATAACATAGGGAGTGAAATATATTTATCCCTGTGGCCCTAATTTTTAATTACTTTTTAAACTTTAGTGTAGAAAATTATTTCAAACATGAGATTTCTGTTGATGTGTGTAGAAAATAGTTTAAGGCTTGAAGGATGTTCTTCTTGCTTTACTCCTTCTGTTCATGTTCTAGGCCTCATCTTTACTTACCATACTGTATATATAGAGGAAGTGATGTCTTCCAAAAATCCCCCTTTTTTAACGCCTGTCTGAATGTTTCTTGCACTAAAAGACAGGCTAATATCAACCAGGTCACCACTGACATATCTAGAGTTTTTGTTTTAAAGGTTTTGTTTTATGTTTAATAAATAAACTGTCAGAAACTCCACTTACATTTTTATGAACTTTTGGATATTTAGTGATACGAATATGATAAAACATTAAAAAACAAGTGCTGCCTACACTTACCTTGGATGTTTTGAAATGTTTTTTGCACCTGGGCTAAAGACCGCTTGTGGTTCTGTACAGTAGATACAATTTTTTTTGTCAAAAGTATTTTTATTGAATTATAATATATAATTAGAATATAACTTTAACAGGTACATTATGAATACATTCCATGTGTAAATATGGTTTTATTATTATTATTATTTTTAAAGGTTACAGGGCAATATTAGTTTAAAGTAACTTCTATGAAAACAGGGTTTTTTCTGTTATTACCACTTAGACCAGGGCTGTGTCCTGCAGGTTTTAGATCTCACCTTGGGTCAACACACCTGAATCACATCATTAGTTCATTACCAGGCCTCTGGAGAACTGCAGGACATGTTGAGGAGCTAATTTAGCCATTTAAATCAGCTGTGTTGGTTCAAGGACACATCTAAAACCTGCAGGAACACCGGCCCTCGAGGCCTGGAGTTGCCCACCCCTGAGTTAGACAAATATTTACAACTGCTGACTATTACATTAGGCTCTTCTGAATATCTGTCTACATTATGCATGCGTGACCAATAACTGCTTAATGTATTTTATTTTTTTGCTTAATGTATTTTAAAGTAAAGCTGTACATGAAGGTACTGAATAGATCTTCTTATTTACATTTCCAATTCTGACATGTGAAGTGTGTAACAGTGAAAATCTTGGAAAGGTTAAATGCAGACACTTTGTGGCTATTTTGTACGCCACAATTAAACAATGGGATGAAATGGAACGAGTTGAACCTGTATGTCGACTGATTTGTGTGTGCAATAAATAGCTGATACAGCTAAGTTTTAGGAAATGTGTCTGTTATGTGTATTTTTTTTTACATGTATGTGTGTACTTTCATGGCTCTTTCATCATCCACTTACCTTTCATCTGGAACTCAGTTATGTTTTTGTAAAATTTGCCAACAGCTGTTAAAAATATCTCTTTTCATTTTAAATAGAACAAGACTTAATTGATTAATATGGCAATGTTATCTACAGACACCCACAGTAAGTTAACCTTGTAACTTAGTGGCAGCAGGTCATACAATATTACAGTTGTGGTTACCTTGTTCTCCTTAGACGTTTCCACAGATGAAATCCAGAAACAGCTGTGAGAATTGGCTCAGAAAAATACACGGAGGTGTATTTTCTCATATGTAGCACACAGCAGGATACAGTTAAGTTAATACAAGTTTTCACAACCACTGACAAGGACCTTGTACTTTTGATTATCAGCTTCCAGCAAACTAAGTTGGGGGAATGGGAGTGGTATTCTGTAATGTACATGCATGTTAAATTTAACTTTTAAAATAAAAACAGAAGATTTGCTCTTTCGTAGGGTCTCCCAAGGGAAAATGGTCCCGTGTAAGGGGCCTGGCAAAGCGTTTTAGAGATGAGAGAGAGATCAAGGGAACATTTAATCATTGCAGGGGCTCACCATGGAGCCAAGCCTTTTCTCTCTGCTTCATTATGTATCAGTGGTTATTGGGGGACCACGACACTGCTTCGAACTTACAGGTCAACTATGTACAGACAGTTTTCACAGTGTTTCACACACAGATTTTTCATCCATCTCCTCTGCTCTCCTTCCTATTTTTGCTCAACGTCACAGGTCCCACCATTCTATTAAGATCAAATTGGGAGTGATGACTTGCAGCTGTGTCAGCCAGACTCTCCTGACTCCAACCCTGAACCCTCTGCTTCACCTCTCCCCTGCAGTTGAGCCGCAAGCCACACCCTGTCACCACACTCTGCTTTGTGGACTTTTCTTTCTTTCCCCTCTTTCTGTAAGGCCATTTCTTTGTTTTTGTCTTTGTCTGCTTGTATTTTGCCAAATAGGTCATTGTAACCCTGGGCCAATGGAAGAAAAGATTCTACTCTCTGTAGTAAAACAGTCGACTCAGTAAACTCTGTTTCACTGAACTCTGCTTTTCTCCTGAGTATATTTTTTATTGGATAAATATATAACACATTTCACCAAAACGTTAGGGAAGGCATTTTTACAATGAGCCAACACTACTTCCATGGGGTAAAACCTGAGATTACAACATTGACTTAACTTGATTAGATAACCAGTACTTCTTGTTCTTTCATTTACAAGTTTGCATGCGTAATCAACACAGCACAGATTTCCAGACTTTTCTACTTTCATCCTTTGCCGTGCAACAGATTTGTGGACTTAGAATGATTTAGACCCCACTCCTACAAAACTGCTCAAAAAAGTCCTGCCGTTGATTGATGGTTCAATCTTAAATATGATCAAGCTATCTCTAATAATCAGCTATGTACTGCAGGCCTTCAAGCTGGCAGTAGTTAAACCATTTCTTTAAAAAACCCCATCTCTGGACTATTAAAACCCGATTCTTTGATCACCATGATAGAACAGAGAAAACCCGACTCAGAGTGGTCAAAACATTTATATTTCTTTATTCAATCATCTTCTGGAAGAGAGAGCCCTGCACAACCCCAAAAACCAGTTGAAGAAACTCTAACATTAGAATTTAAAAATGTGTCTCATATAGGTGTTATTTTGGTCCTAAGAATATATTTATTACATGACAGAACCCAGCTGTCTTAACTAATAATAGGACAATCTCCAACCTTCCTTTCACATCCAAAATTCTTGAAAGAGTAGTTGTCAAACAGCTAACAGATCATCTGCAGGGAAATGGCTTATTTAAAGAGTTTAAGTCAGGTTTCAGAGCTCATCACAGCACAAAAACAGCTTTAGTGAAGGTTACAAATGATCTTCTTATGGCCTCTGACAGTGGACTCATCTCTGTGCTTGTCCTGCTTGATATAGTGCAGATTAGATTAGAGATATCCTTTCTCAGAGTGACGCTGAAAAACTAGTTCATGCATTTATTACTTCCAGGCTGAACTACTGTAATTCATTATTATCAGGATGTCCTTAAAACCCCCTGAAAAGCCTTCAGTTAATCCAAAATGCTGCAGCAAGAGTTACTGACAGGGACTAGAAAGAGAGAGCATATTTCTCCTGTATTGTGTTTCCTTCATTGGCTCCCGGCTGAATCCAGAATTGAATTCATAATCATGCTCCTCACATACAAGGTAATAAATAATCAGGCCCCATCTTATCTTAATGACCTTGTAGTACAACATCACCCTATTAAAGCACTTCACTCTCACACTGTGGGCTTACTTGTTGTTCCTAGAACCTTCAGTTCTCAGGCCTTCAGTTAGGAGCCTTCAGTTTGTGTGCCCCTCGTCAATGGAACCAGCTTCCAGTTTGGATTCAGGAGACAGACACTATCTCTACTTTTAAGATTAGGCTTAAAACCATCCTTTTTGCTAAAGCATATTAGTTAGGGCTGGATCAGGTGACTCTGAATCCCCCTTATTTATGCTGCAATAGGGCTGTATCCCAATTCAGGGTCTGCAGCCTTAACGGTCTACAAGGGCCGCGTACTCAAAGACAGCTAAGGCTGGAAGTGGGAGGCTTGTGAAATGGGACAGTCCAGCCTACAAAATTCTATCACCAGCTGGACACGCCCTTACCACTTCTCCCGATGAATGCGGAAAACATACTCGCTACAACAAGTCCCTCGTCACAGACGAGTGATTTTGTTGCGACTAATCCAAAACCACGTTCAGGTAGAGTGGAAAAAAAACCACATACTGATACTATGGGCAGAAATCTGTGCCATCAGAAACTGAATTTGAATAAG